TGAAGGATGCGCCAAACTTGGTAATGAGGTGAGACAATTATTAGAGTGTGTTTGAGGAAAATGTGTCCTCATCTGCCCCACTGCGCTGACACATAATGTGAGAAACACTGTATACTGACAGCACTCAACATGTACTTTTAAAACCTTAAGTACCTGCGCTTGCTGAAGGGATGAGAAACGTTCCCAGCTCACCAACGAACACACTTTTCCCTCCTGGGAATTCCAGACATCTTCCAACATATTTTGCAGAGTTTCCACAGACGCCTCACAAAGTAACTGGACACGAGACTCGATTGCATCCTTTCTGTTTTCATAAAAGCAGTCGGTGTAAAAATCCAGCGGACACGTCTGTAAGGGAAAACAAACGTGAGCTCTAGAGTTTCATACATATTCAGATAAACACGTATAGACCTTTCTTTACCTGGTATGGGTTTCGGAAGACATCTGGAATACTGTCCATGAAAATGATGTCCCACAGCAGGAGAGCAAACAGTGTTGAGAATGTTGAACCCTCTCCATGGATCCCTGATGATGATGATGATGATGATGATGATGATAATAATAATAATAATAATAATAATAATAATAATAATAATACTTAAACAAAAGAAAAAACAAAAAAACCTACTGTTTCTGTTTGTATCTATACATTTTTACAGGAGAAAAAAAGTTGTTTACCTTGGTCAAAACCTTGCTGTCTGTAATGCGCCAAGGACAGCTCCTCTACAGAGCATATTACAGTGGAATGAGCGCCCTCTTCATTTGCTGGTAAAAGAAATTTAGACTTTCCCATGCCTCCCTCATGAGGAAACAGCTGTCCTCGAATAGTCACCTGCAGTCAGATGTAACAACAAACAAACAAACACACAGACACACACAAAAGCATCTTTTAGGTGAGCTAAAAAACTAAGCTGTTCCATTTTGAAACCCACACACTGACACTGTGAAAAACATACATGCTTGACATCTTGTACTTGGACAGTGGGCAGGTCTCTCAGTTGCAGGCGGTACTTCTTGCAGCTGGCAGACTCTTTCATTCTAACAGCTCTGTGATGCAGCGCGAGTTTATGTCCTGTACGCACCAAAGGGTCTGACAGCCCATCTCTAATAGCACAGATAGCCTGACAGGTAAAGAACACAGTCCAACAATTGAAAGATTAACACAAGACATCTGACAAAAAATTAAATCAGACTGTCTCAGTAGGACGTGAATGAGAACAGAGAAGGGTGCAGACTTGCTCAGGACTTTTGAGGTGCTGGTGAACGTTTAGTGCCAGCCTGTCCCACCATCGCCCGCGGCTGTCAGGACAGTAAACGGACTGCAATAGCAAAGACCGCAGCTCTTCAACTGCTTCCTGTGACACGAACAGAAGACCCATGAGATCTTCAACAATGACATGAACAAGCACTTTAATTTGTGTTTCGCGGTGAATGGACAGGTTCAGAAACCTCATAGCGACGGAGCCTTTGCAAAATCTCGACCCCTCTGGATAAAATTCGAGTGTAAGCCCATCCTGCAGTGAAGCAGCGCAGAAATACAGGCAGCTTTTCCTGATGACTGCAAACAAATCATATTGTTATCAGTCACAACTGACTGTTTTTGGAAACACTGAAGCAAATGTTTATGATTTCGCACCTGAGGTCATTGTTTTTCTTCAGCACTAGCCATTGACTTTTGGCTGCAGCATAGAGCTCCATGGCCGTCTCCCACTGACCACCCTGCATAGCCAGGATCACCTCTTGCAGTGCTCGCATGGAAGCTTCATATCTGGTGTGATGCATGCCATTATTAGTACTTATTTGTGCCTATCCTGCTTGATAAAACATAAGAAAGTCATTATAGATATTTTGGTAGAACCTTACCTGATAAGGTCCTCTCTATCCTGAAAAACCTTGGCTACACGCTGTACTGTATAGTCTGGGAAGGCCAGACGACCTGAGTTTACCAAAAGGATGGTATAAAGCTGGCTCTGTCCTCCAGCTGCCATCTCCTCTTCTTCCACGGTGTCCGTCAGAGAGAAGAGCAGGAGAACACGAGAGAAGACAGCCCGAGGACCCCGACAGAGACGGACACAGGAACCTGCAAGCTGCTTAGCCCTTTAAAGACAGGATGGGGTGTGACCACCACTGCAATACTGGTACTAAAAAAACATAACATAAATAATTATCTTACCGTTTAAGAATCACTGCTCCGACACTGTTTTGTGCAGTGGTCAGAGTGAAAAGAGACTTTTGCTTGCTAAGGCGGAGCAGCCCGTCCACTACCTGCTGTTTTTGGGTCGCTGAATTGCCCAGGTGGAAAGTCTTAGCCAAAGCTTTGAGTTCAGGAGCCGGCAGGAGATCCAGAGCCTCACCCAAGTCTTCAAGGTCATTCTCTTTGAGAGGTAAAAACACCAGACGTGGACATTATTTGAGAAAATTTGGTGATGTTTATTCATTGATGTAATTTGATGTTTATTCCAAACATTTTACTGTATTTCCTAGCTTCAACCATTAACATGATGCCAACATAATAGCTAAATGTGATCAGTGCAGTCATATTAATAACATAATTGGAAAAACATGAATATCGAACGGTAACAAAATGACAGTAACAAAAGGAGACATTAAATTTTTTACACATTTACCTGTCTCCAGAAAACCACTTTGAACCAGTTCCTGTGAAATGGGTCCAAGATCGCTGCATATCTCTTCATAATCCAGCTTATTTACTTGGAGCCACTTCAGTTTCCTCTGAAAAAGCCTCACATACAACTTCTGTCCCATGACTTCAAGAGAGAGAATACATGTGAACAATAAAGCCAGATTTTCACAGTTTTTAGAATAACTATTGAATAATATTTTAACATACCTGACAGATTTTCAAATGCACGTATAAAGGACAAATCATCTTGGTTGAACAACTCTCTGTCATCCTCATTCTCCAGCACAGCGTGTAGTACAGTTTTGAAGTTCCTGAGGTAGTAGGGAAGGTGCGGCGAAGCCGTAGTCGAGCTCTGCTCACTTGTGATGCTATCGGCACCAAACACTGGGAGTAAATCACCACTGACAACCGCAACCTTTTCCTCACACGTTTCCTCTAAATTCAAAGGTTGGTCACAAGCAGATAACGCTACTACAGTTTCATGCTGATCCAGATCAGTTGTTCCAGCTTTACCTTCAGAGGACTTCTTCTCCAGCTTGGCTTTCTTTTTAAAGCTAGCTGCCTTACTAATGGAAGATTTACTTTTTCGTTTTGCTGGTTTGGAGGGAGAAGAGTGTGGCTTTGGAGCAACTTGTTTTTGAACAGTATCAGATTTAGATGCTTTGTTTTCAAATTTATGTTGTTTTTTTGAATGTGATGGGTCTTGTACTGTTGCTGCACAGGTGACACTGGTGGACCGGCGTGTCATACCTTCTTTTTCATCTTCTAAACTCTGAATCAGAAGATTCTCCTTCTGTGAGCTATTCAGTGTCTCATCAAGTTCATCCACTGTCTCTTTCCTCTCAGATGCCTTATGAAAATTTCCAGCTAATTTGGAAGAGAGACTTTCCCGGTCAATGGTCCTGACCACAGTCTTGCTGTTTATTTCCCGTGGTGCCTGTTGTGAATTATTTGCTGGTTTGGAGGGAGAAGAGTGCGGCTTCGGAGTAACTTGTTTTTGGACAGTATCAGATTTAGATGCTTTGTTTTCAAATTTATGTTGTTTTTCTGAATGTGATGGATCTTCCACTGCTGCTACACAGACAACACTGGTTGATCTGACTGGCAGGTCCTCTTTTTTGTCTTCTAAACTCTGAATCAGAAGATTTTCTTTCTGTGAGCTATTCAGTGTCTCATCAAGTTCGTCCACTGTTTCTTTCCTTTCAGGTGCCTTATGAAATTTTCTAGATAATTTAGAAGAAAGACTTCCAAGGTCAATGGTCCTGACCACCGTCTTGCTGTTTATTTCCCGTGGTGCCTGCTGAAAGTTATTCTTTTTGAAATAAGGGCTTGTTTTGGTCTCTTTGCCTTTTTCACCCGCTTCTTCCACTTTTCGATCCACCGCGGGAGACTCTGGGAGACTCCTTCTGGGTGACAGCTGAGTGCTTGAGATAACACTATTACTTGCTGAGCCGACAGTGCTGTCTCCTCTCTCAAAGTTCTGACATTGCAGATCAATATGCTCATTGATCTTGAATCTCGGTACCAGCTGGCCACACAGGGGACAGGCCAGCTTAGGTGGAGGCTTGCTGGAGAAGAACGACGTGATTGGACTTGTGGTGGCACCCCTGGCAGCAGTGCCAACTTTAACAACATTGTCCGTCTTTTTGGTTCTCGACAATGATAAACGTCCCCTGAGTTTGCCTTTGTTAGCTCGCTCGGCCATGTTTCAGCAATGCAGGCGGCAGTGGTGGTGCTGCTCGGTGAAAACTATTTTCCCCCACAGGTTTTCTTTGTTGCATACTCTGACAGTTGCGCTTTCGGTGTAGAAATGCTTCGTATGCTAGCTTACCTATGTCTCATTTAAAATGGTCACACATTTGCGACTCTTAGTGCTTCACAAATCCAGCAGAAAACTATAAAATACAGCCTGTCAGCGGTTCAAAATAGCTAACATACCGATAGCAGATATGGCACCCAATCCCGCTTCTTAGGCACAACCAGTAGAGCGCAGAACATCGAAATCGATCCCAGATACATCGATATTTTTCCTCAACAAACGCAAATAAATCCTAGGAAGCTGTAAGATATAATCATATTAAATATGGCTTTAAAGTAAAGATAATCTAATAATATAAATCACACCTTGGGTGTCTATTTAATGACTTACAAGCCACCACTTATACTGTTAAACAAATTATAAAATGACTAAAAAATTAAAAACAAACAAACAAACAAACAAACATAAAAAATACAATCCATTCATATAGAGGTGCATCTGCGTGTGCATTAATGTTTTATGTTGGGTAGAACAGTGCGACTAGTGAGCACATGGTGCGTGTGTGCCTGTGTTAGGGGGTGTATTTTCTACACAGGTTCCTGGGCTGCTGTGCGGCTTTTATTCAAAAATCACCATCCCGGAGATCAATCTCATCTGATCAGCAAACGGGCATTTTAAGGGAGAGGCCCCCACAGGACTGATGTCGGTAAGTGGCACACACATATATTAATGCACGTATAGAGGGGAGCATGCAATATTGATGCATGTAGGCCTGCTCGTGTTTCTGTCACAGAGCGAAAACGATGCTAGATGTGCGTGCTCCTGTGGCACATCAGCCCATTAGTTGGGTGTCAGCATGGTGCAGTCTCCATGCTTCACATCAAGGTCGATGTGAATTTTCCAGCTGCTGTAGGATAATAAGATGCCTCCAGATGGTATAACCACTAGAGAGCGTGTGTGGAGGGAGCGCGCTCCATTAATGCACGGTATATGCGCAGGACATATCCGATTATCTTATCGACATCTAGGCAGAGGGAAATGCGGCGTCCACTTGTGGGGAGACTGGAGCCACAGCAACAACCACCCCTGCAGCTGCGGCAAAAGTTAGGCGTAATAGCTTTATAAAATACTACCACTCATTCTTCAAGGGCAGGGCAGGTGCAAGAAAACTGCAATGGTGAAGGCCAATTCTACTCTGTAATTGCCCCTGTTGTTTTAATTGCCAGTTCAGCACCATGGAGAAGTCATGCTTAGGACTGTTAGCAGGGATTAGAGGTTTTTTGTGCTGATGATGCTATAATCCCAGTTGCATAATGACCTGATCAACACTGATAGGATTCATTTCGTTGTGGAGTCTTTTTAGCTTGAGCCAAATAGTTTGCTCTATGATTTTTCTTTTCAGCCTCAAGCTTAGATGCTTCATGCTGAGATGAGGATGCTGATGATGACATGTTTATACTGGGCGTGTAGCACAGCACTGTCAGTGTGCTGCCTCTCACATATCCTGTACTAATCAAATGTAAAGCATGTATTACTAAACTGAGAGCATCACATTCACACTTAAGGAGCTCACTTCTTTTAAATGATGACAGGGATGAAAAGAGATTTGGTGGAATTCAGAGCTGAGAGAATCATAAATTATATCATTATAATATTGATAAATAAAATCAACAGCATTTTTATGTTGTATTGATGGATACTCTCTAATTTACTGGTGTTAAATCCTGCTGTTGTACATTTGTATTATTACTGTAGGGCTGCGAATAACAGATATTTCCCCATTTCTTAATCTGCCAGATGTTTTCTTGATTGAGAATATATGTTGAATGCACACTCACCAGCCACTTTGTCAGGTACACCTGTTCAGCTGCTTGTTAACGCAAATATTTAATCAGCCAATCACATGGCAACAAAGTTAATGGCATATGCCTAAATGCATATTTACGCATGCAGACATGGTCGAACCAGGCTGTTGACATTGAAACTGAGCATTGGAATGAGAAATGGGGCTGATTTAAGGGACTTTGAATGTGGCATGGTTGTTGGTGCAAGGCAAGCTGCTCTGAGTTGTTTCAGAACTTGCTGATCTACTGGGATTACAGCCATTTCTAGGGTTTATAGAGAAAAATGGTCAGAAAAAGAGATAAGATCCAGTGAGCGGCGTTTTTCCTTGTTGAATGTCAGAGGTTAGATGAGAATGGCCAGACTGCTTCGAGATGATAGGAAGGCAACAGTCATTCAAATAAGTACTTGGTACAGTCTATGCATATAGAAGAGCATCTCTGAATGCACATGATGTTAGTCCTTGAAGCGGATGGGTGACAGCAGCAAAAGACCGCACAAGGTGCCACTCCTCTCAGATAAGAACAGGAAACTGAGACTGCTGCAAAATAGGGTCTGAATCTGGAGTAAAAAACATAAAAGCAGCACCAGCAGTGGTTCCAAGTATATTTTCCTGGCACGCTTTAGGCCTCTTAGTGCCAACTGAGCATCACTTAAACACCACAGCCTACCTGGTTACTGTTTCTGACCATGTCCATCCTTTTATGACAGCAGAAGAACACACCATATCACAAAGCTCAAATCATCTCTAACAGCTTTCCAGAACACAACAGGGAGTTCACTGTACTCAAATGACCTCCACAGTCACCCAATCTCAATCTAGTAGTGCAGCTTTGGGGTGTGGTGGACTTCACATTATGGAGGTGCAGCCAACAAATCTGCAGCAAATGTGTGATGCTGTCATGTCAATATGGACCAAAGTCTCTGAGGAATGTTTCCAGACCCTTGTTGAATCCATGCCATGAAAAATTAAGGCAGTTCCGAAAGCACAAGGGGGTTCAGCTCTGTACCATTTAGGTGTACCTTATAAAATGTCTGGTCAATGTAGACTATCATGTCTCTATTTAAAATTTCTCGTTTCTGTCAACTGTAGACTATCGGTAAAAGAATGACAGAAAAAAAACCCAAATAGTTACATTCGAGAGGCTGGAACTCGTTAAATGCCAGTATTTACTTTTAATTAACAGCTGTAATCATTTTTCCACGATTAATTTCTATCGGTTCAGCTGTGAAGTACTTTCTGACTAATTTAGACAGTTTTGTGTTGTTGTTCTTTGGTTCTTTACTGTTTTTCAAGGCAGCTTCTTGAAGATACTGTTTAGCAAACTATAAAACAATAACATAGTTTATAGAAAACACCACATGCTACAATCTGAAAGCAGGCATGGGCAGCATTTTTGTCAGCATTACTTGTGCCAGAATTTTGTAATAACTTTTTAGGATGTTATATTTCAAGCGGTGTGTGAGAGAGCTAGACTAGGTTAAGCAGATGACTTTCACCCGCAAGAGAAGAGTTTAAATTGTGTGTGAAGGCAGACTGACTTACAATAAGCCAGTATAGAGCATCTGCATATGTCTGTGCTTCTGTGGTGGGAGGTGCTAAGAATAGAGAGCAGTGTTGCAGAAGGAAGGCTGTGTGTCTGTAGTTTTACTGCAGGCTTCCTGTTCTGCAGGACATCAAGACAAAATTAGAGCAGGCACAACGGACCAAGATCACAGATAACAAACACCATCAAAGACAAATGGACTGAGATGGTGCATGTAAGTAAAATATGGATGTTTGGTACGGAGGGAGGATGTGTGTGTGTTTTTAAAGTATGACAGAGATAGTCACTGTATACAAAAGTGGATCTTTGACCATATGCAAAGAGGAATCTTTGATGTTTGGTTATTTAAATTGACGGCACCTGTGCTGTAGGCTTGTAGCGGAGGAGCTCGAAAACTGAGAAGAGTTGCTGAAGAGTTTCTGTTTTTATGAAAGAGAGCATCGAAGTCTTTGGAAGGTGATTTCTCCAGTGTGATGAACCTACGTCATTTGCAAAATACAATATGTGTTCAGTTATTTTTCATAATAATATAAAGAGTCTGAATGATGATATACTGTTGAAAATATAACATTTCTCAAAAATGTGAAATTGATTTTCTATTAATGTTTACAGGGCTTAGGGTAGTGGGCTAAAGGGGCCAGTTATGGCTCATGGAAAGAGGCCAGGATCCATTTCCAAAATATTGGTACCCGGCACTTCATCATGCCCCGGTCCTGGACAGAGCAAAGAAGAGCGGGGAGGTTTGGTGAACGAGGCGACTGAGCAACCACCTTGTGCGCTGGAGGAGGATAATAATGACCAGCTGACTTCTCCTGTTTCTGCAAATCACTATTACATGAGTTGTGACCCTAGTCCTGAGGACATGGAGGACACCTGCTCTGAGTACGACAACGTGGGCTCCGATGTCGAGCAGGACTATGATGAGGTTCTGCATTTGAACAGAGAGGGCGGTGTGGACATGAGGTATTACAAGCAGTACTGTCCTGAGGACGGTGGCTATATAAAGCATGCTGTCAGTGATAATACTAATGAGAACACCAGTGCTCCTGACCAGATGACTCCGAGGCCACGGCATGGCACAGAAATATGTGAGGGATCACAATCAGACGCTAAGCCGAGTAAGATGAGCCATCGCTTCAGGTCGCATTGTGCTCCAGTTGCTGGTGATGAAACAGAAGGGGGAGTTAAAAAGGGCCAGGAGGACAGGTTCTTCTTCGGTGATGGAGATGAGATAGAAGAGGTGCTAGATGGGGCCAAATTTATAGAGGATTTAGAGGAGACGGAGGACAGTATTCAGAGGCAGGCTAGCCTTTATCAGGGTAATGAGAACGAAAGAATTAGGAAGGGGGGAGAGGAACGGCAAAGAGAAGGTGACGTCCGAGTCACAAGGAACCCTAATGTCCTAGGAGCCAGCAAGAAGTGTGAGCCATCTCACATAGATTCAAAGGAGAAGGAGCGGCAGGGTAAAGGGCGAGGAAGGAGGGGAACAGGAGAGGGCATCGAGCAAATTGCCTCTGGGATCAAAGGATGCATGACCAGCAACACTGAGCAGCGTCCAAAGACTTTGCCCAGGGACTGCAAAAAAGTTGCCGTGAGGACCAAAGCTAGGTCCAGTTCCAGTAAGCAACACCCTATTCCCCCACCTCGCCACTCCCATGCTCAGCCTCCTACTGAAACCCAGAAACCCCAGCCTCACAGAGAGCCTCCTCCTGTTCCCAGACCCAGTAATTCCACTGCTAACAGCCGGGAGAATGAACCCAGGGTTATCAAGCCATCCCTGGCTCCTCTTCACACACCAGAACAACAGAGGGAGTCTCTCGAGGAGAGACAGAGACGGCTAGAGAAACCCCAGCAGGTAAGCAATGCAAATAGGACACATCTTTGTCAGCTCTTGTCCCCTGTGGCTTGTGATTGTAAATGTTTGTGCCAAACCTGCCTCTGCTGTGGTTTAGAGGGGATCAGCACAATTTTAATTTTATGCATCGCCAGAAATAGTCTTCATCACTTTTTATGAGTTCTTCTTAATCGGCACAGGACAACAAGAAATGTTAAAAAACACAAACTGTCCAAGATAAGAAGAAAACACCCCCCACTTATTTTTGTTTAGCAGAATGAGAAGCTCAGCCCGGCTGCAATACCTGAGGAGCTGCCAGAGCAGGCGACGAGGTCTCAGTGTCCAGAGCCTGTCTCTGCAGAAGACAGCAACACTCCCAAGGTTAAAATTCAGCTACTTTTAGCTTCTTATCATCCAGTTTTTGATCAAAAAACTGTCTTTTACTGTCTCTTTAATCGTATTCCCAAGAAACATTTGTTTTTGTAAGTTTTGTATGTAGGCAATCGTGGATATTGTGATAGATATAGGTTTTTATACTGTATCTGCAAAATATTTGCCCTTGAAGTCCAACTTATTACATTTTTTAAAAAAGAAAACACAGGAAGCTGCTTCGTTTCCCAGCTTTGAGGATGGTAAATATCTCAGAATATTCTCAAAATGTTGTCATTTTTATGAATCTGTGCTGCACGTTACAGGGGTCTTTTTGTCACACAGTCCCAGGTCCCTGTGAGCCAGAAGACCTTATTGATGGGATCATCTTTGCTGCTAACTACCTTGGCTGCACTCAAGTTTTGTCTGATAAAAACCCATCCAAGAGTGTCCGTATGTCCCAGGCTCATGAAGCTGTCAGTCAAATCAAGGTAATTCTTCTTCAGGGTTGTTACAGCTACCAACATGCATCCATTTAGTTCATAAATCTTTAAATTGGCCAGCATCAAAATGTGGGAACAAACTGAAATGAAATCTAGGGAACAAATTGAATTCGGGTCCAGGAGACTTGATTAGATTCTCTTGATGTTCTCCATCTGGGATTTTCAGCCTTAGAAAAGTTGGCTTTTATTTTTGGCTGGAGGGACTCGACTTTATTAGGGATTTGACTTTATTCTACATGTATGCTCGCAGTTGAAATAAATAATATGTATGTAGTTCAGGCCAGGGTCTTTCTGTGTGGAGTTTGCATGTTCTCCCCATGTTGGTGTGGGTTCTCTGCGGGTACTCCGGCTTCCTCCCACAGTCCAAAGACATGCAGTTAGCGGGGCTAGGTTAATCAATCAATCTAAATTGCCCATAGGTGTGAATGCGGGAGTGAATGTGAGAGCGAATGGTTGTCTGTCTCTGTGTGTTAGCCCTGTGACAGACTGGCGACCTGTCCAGGGTGTACCCCGCCTCTCACCCTATGACAGCTGGGATAGGCTCCCGTGCCCCCCACGACCCTGAAAAGGATAAGCGGAAGTGAATGGATGGATGTTATTTAATACATACAAGGCCAGAAGTATACATACAGGCTCAATTATATAGATACACTTACTTTAATCTTTTAATAAGTGGTGCTGAGTTCTGTCTTTTAACTTGACAAGGTTAAGGCCTGTTAACTTAAACAACTGTACATAACTATGTTATTCAGATGTGTCATCACTTTGCCGAGATCTGGATTTAGACCCAGACTGTCCCCCTACAATAAGAGGAATTTGGTTAGGATGTTCAGGAATAACCCAGGAACCACTAAGGCTCAAGCCTACCATGAGCTGGAAACTGCTGGAACACCAGCATCACTGTCCACAGTGAATCCAGTTTTATATCATCACGGACTGAGAGGGTGCCGACCAAGAAAGAAGCTCCTGCTCCAAAATGGAAACCTTCAAGCTCGAGAGAAATTTGCAGCTGCCCACATGGACAAGCCAAATGCCTTCTGGAGAAAGGTTTTATGGCCATATGAGACAAAGATTGAGCTATTTGTCCACACTTGACAACAAGTATGTTTGTAAAGGTGAAAGCTTCAAACCTAAGAACACTGTACCAATTGTAAAGGACGGTGGTGGTAGCATCATGCACTGTGGCTGTTTTGCTGTCAGCAGTACTGTTACATTGTACAAAGTGGTTGTAATAATGAAGAAGAATGACTATCTCCAAGTTCTTCAGCGTGTTCCAGTAGCTCAGTGATCCAAAGCACACGTGTGAGGTGGTTTTTGAATGGATGAAGCAGGCTAACGTTAAACAGCTGGAATGGCCTTACCAAAAACCGGGTGTGTGCCAAGAAGAGTGGTCAAATATACACCAGGAATTATGCCAGAAGTTTCTTAATGGCTACAAAAAGCTTCTGGTAAAGGTGTAACTTACTAAGGGACGTTTAACCAAATATTAGTGGAGGTGTATGTATACATCTAAAACTGTGTGGATTAGAAAAAAAATACAAACTAAAGTCAAACTTGTGCACCCAGTTCTTTTCAAAGTGCAATAAAGATGTATGCTGTACAATCTTTCCACACTGAGAAAATGAACAGTTCAAAGAAATAATTCAAGGCCCTAAATTACAATGACCATAACACGTATTAATACTTCTGACCACAACTGTATGTTGCTTGTGACCTATTTATAAAAAGTCAGCTGTGCAGTAACCTCATCTATTTACCACACAGTGGAGCTGTTGCATGTCTTTCTTTTGGCCACTTTGTTCTTTTGATACGGCCACATGTTTTTGTTCCTGTGTATTAAGTGTTATATCCTGTGCTTGTGCCTTGAATGTAACTACAAATGAACTGCTGGTCACAAAAGCAAAGTTTGAAAAGAATAATTTAAACTGTCTCTGCCTTTCAGGCATAAGCACAAGCGTTATTATTGAGGTGCAAGAAAAAAAATGCTATGCAAGATTAAAGCATCACATTCATTCTCTGAAATGCAAAACGTCTTATTAAAATTCTGTTTATCTCAAAGAGCCAAGATGAAGATTCTCAAATGATGACAGAAGTGGACCTGTTTATCTCCACTAAAGCTGTCAAAGTACTGAATGCTGACACACAGGTCAGTGGCTCTTAAATTTGTGTGTTGCCTTCTTCTTGTGCATAAACACAATTTATTTTGAATCATGATTGTCATTACTTTTGTTCCTCATAGGAAACAATGATGGACAGTGCCTTGCGAACCATCTCCTACATCGCAGACATCGGCAGCATTGTAGTTCTGATGGCACGGAGGCGCATGTCTCAGGCCTCATCAGAGGAGCTCTCTGAATCTTCGGACTCCACCAGCGAAGGGAAGAGCCAGTACAGAATGATCTGCTATGTCTTTGAATCAGAGGATGTAAGTATTGCCATTCTTTTCTACTTTACGCTCTAGTTTTACATTTTTACAATAATCTCTGGTCACTTCCTTGCTGTTGTCAGCTGGGATAGCCTTTCTGCTGAGCGGTTTCCCCCAAATGCTCCCCTTCCCGTAGGCGCAGCTAATCGCACAGTCTATTGGTCAGGCGTTCAGTGTGGCCTACAGAGAATTCCTGCGAGCCAATGGCATCAATCCCACCGACCTGAGCCAGAAACAATACAGTGACATCATCAGCTCCCAGGAAATGTACCACGATGACCTCGTTCATTTCTCAAATTCAGACAACTGTAAAGAGGTGTGACATGTTTTTTATTCCACTGTTGGCTAATTGTAAATGATGACTGATGGATTTTCCACCCTAACAGAATCTCGCTAAATGAAATGCATATACTATTATGAAATGCATAAACTATTATATATTGTACATATATTTATTAGTTTCAGATGTAGCCATTCTTGTATTTTGCTTGTTTACATTATTGTATTTTGCACAACTCTGTTGCTTGTGAAGCTCGCACACAAGAATTTCACTCACATGTGCTGTACCAATGTACCTGCACATGTGATGTGACAATAAAAGTGATTTGATTTAATTTTCAATATGAAATTCAAAGTGTGCTTAAAAAGGTTTAAAAAATACTTGTATACTGTATTACAGCTGTATATAGAGAAGCAGAAAGGCGAGATCCTCGGCGTGGTAATAGTCGAGTCTGGCTGGGGCTCCATTCTGCCCACGGTCATCCTGGCCAGCATGCTGAACAGTGGGCCCGCAGCTCGCTCTGGAAAACTCAACGTGGGCGACCAGATTATGTCCATCAATGACACAAGTCTCGTGGGGCTGCCACTGGCCACCTGCCAGGGCATCATTAAGGTATGGAGTACATCAGGAACCTCCAGTTAGCCCTTTACTTAGAGTCATAAGTTAGATAAGGAAGTATTTGAATCAAAGAATAGCACAAGGAAAACTATCTGTAGTTAGTAGTGCTGGACTGAACAGCCCAAAAGTATGAATTACAGTGAAAGTACCTAAATATTAGTGGACTTTTAGGTGGTCCCTCTTTTCACCCTAAAAGGATTAAGTGGACAGGAAAGAAGAACACGAATGAATAAATGTAATTTTGACCATGACACTAACAAGCACATAGAAATACCACATAAGCACAGGGACAGCACCAGTCTTTAGTCCACCTCCACAAACCTTTTGACTTCTGAAACATGTGAATGCGTTTCTGAATGTGTCCCAGGGTCTGAAGAACCAGGTGAAGGTAAAGCTGAGTATTGTAAGCTGCCCTCCTGTCACCACCGTCCTCATCAAGAGACCCGATCTCAAGTTCCAGCTCGGCTTCAGTGTTCAAAATGGCATTGTGAGTGCAGCCGTATCACTCGTTACCATGACTCTAAACTTAAGATTGAACTTTCAACTCAGGCTTATTAAATGCTTAGGTGCATGCAGGTTTTTTTGTCATGTTATAGCATCACAGTGATGGCTGCTTATGTTAAAAATAGCAATAATGAGCTCAGCGTATGTACAAATAATTGCTGTGAGCCAAAAGCTCAGGCGTCATTCTGCTCTGATAGTTTTTGAGCTGCTGCACCAGGGCCAAGATAAATAAGGAACTGTGAACTGTGAACCATGAAAGCTACTCTAGTACATGCCAAAAATATGTTAATATTTACAACATACCCCCTTGTTGACTGGGAGTGTTGGTATTTATGATGCAGTTCCACATTTGGGGTTATTTTGCTTCCTCAGATCTGCAGCCTGATGCGAGGCGGTATCGCTGAGAGAGGCGGCGTTCGTGTTGGACACAGAATCATTGAAATAAATGGTCAGAGTGTCGTTGCCATGGCACACGAGAAGATAGTTCAAACCCTGTCCATCTCTGTGGGTGAGGTAGGAACTCCTCATGACACAAGATGGCAATTTTCTCCGATTACTGCACCACACAAACACTGTGCCACACAGGCCTTTCATAGATGCATGCACATTAGAGTTTGGTTTAAAGCCAAATCACTGGGTACACACAGGGCCACAGAATGCCTGTAAGTGATGGGTCAATAAAGTCAATAAAATCCTGTGATTAAACAAACCATGGTTAAATTTTTTTTTAAATTAAAACTGACTAGTACAATAAAGGATGTTTGTGTGAGAAAACTCACATTCCAGAGAAATTAACTATTGTGTACTTTCACAGTGATTACAGGAATCTATTTCCTTGAGTGCAAGTTTACAATTTATCCCTATGAGCGTGCTTTAAAGGAACAGTTTGGGAAATTCTTTTGCCCTTCCTTGTTGACTCATAGTCCAGCACATTAACTCCAATAAAACCATCACGTTGTTCGCTGTTTCAATTAGATAAACTCAGCTGTTTCAAACTAACTGTCAGGCAGCTCATGCTTCACATTGATTTTTTTAATTTTTTCAGGAAATTGTTATACATCTTTTAACTCTTGACCAAAGTAAATGAATATGGCAACATATCAAACTAGTATTAAACACAAACAAATGGATGGAGAATACAGAGGAGACCTGATGGTTCAGATCCCAGTTTGTGTTGTGATGCTCAATGCTTCAATGCTGTAAATAAAACTTAAAGTTAAACATAATCAAAAATATGTACCGAATATTTTTTAAAACTTTAACTTAATTTTCAACCACTCTTGTATTTTCTCTGTAATTTCTTCAAGTGTACGTTCTGATAGAAAAGATCTCTGTTTGACAGCAATACATCTGAATCCTTTTCTCAGTCTCTGGTGGGACAGAGAGGAGTAAGTAAATTAGGGCCGATTACATATCTGTGCATGTGTAAATGCATCTGAAGTTGATGGGTTAACCCAGGGAGCTCACTTTACATTGTGGGCCACATACAGCCCACTTTGACTTTCAGGCGAGGGATAAGTTTAACCCCAGTCAGAACCCCTCTGATATCTTCACATACAAAAAAAGAAGTACAATTTTAGCTGCATGTCTCAGTTTTTCTATATGATAAAGAAATTCTGCTGTAGTAAATGGAAGAAATCTGTAAACATGGCACTTTGGGACTAAACTGTAAGTAATAGATGTGTAAAAGCACAGAGAATGTATCTCATTGCCCAGACTGACCTGTAATAATAAAGCAAAGTTTTTCTTGCTTTTTAAAAGATACCATAAAGAAATAGAAACTCTTCTATTAGATGGTGAAAAAATAGGATTTCTTTGTCATTTCATTGTTCTTTTTTTTCTTTAACTTAGGTGTAGTACGAACAATCGTGAAGGAGGCCTTTATCAGTAGAAAAAAACTGTACAATTTATAAAAATGCAGTTAAAAGTCCCAAATCGTTCCTGTGGGCCGCCTCAGAGTCTTTGTGGTGCCAATTCAGGGCCCGTGTGCCACATGTTTGACACCCTGCATTTACCCACCCTGCTTCTTTCATGTTTCCCTCTGTGCCAGATCAACATGAAGACGATGCCTGCTGTGATGTTCAGACTGCTGACGGGACAGGAGACGCCCGTCTACATATAGAGGACCCTGCATGGATCAGCCCCACTGTAGCTCTGCATGTCTGGCTGCGTGACGACAATAAGACGGGTGGCTCAGTGGGACGAGGAGAATTTATTTTTCTATCATTTTATTTTTTTTGGCCTGTTGTCGCGACGCTGTAAAGAACATCCGTTTCTCATTTTCCCAGGTTTTATCTTGAATTACATCGTCATAATGGCCTTACAATGTGAATACTCTGTCTGTAGTACTGTACGTGAGTTTATGGTGTTGAAGAAAAGTAGCTTTACGGTCATGTTTATTTTCTTATGAAGAGATAAATTAGTACATTTATTTTTTATTTAGTCATTTTTATAATGTGTATGGAGTTTAAAATTGTACTTCTACTGTAAATACTTTGGATTTCTCAAGGACTTGATTGGAAAGGCCATATAACTTCTGCAGTATATGCATGTGATAACGAAGAATACGATTTACTGACCAGGGATTCATTCTCAATCCAACATGTTAATCTATTACAATTAGTATCAAAAGAAGATAATAAGATGCTGTACAAAGGCACTGAACTCTGTGTATTGTGGTGACGCTGAAGGCCAAAGACACTCTTAATTTTCAAGGACATACAGTATATGGATGATCATTACTTTTACCAGAGCGTACAAGAATGTATCAGAATATACAATACTGAATGAATGTACAGTTATAACACACAGAAAATACAGTTTCATTGCTGAGCACTTGTTTGTTTTCATTTTATTCAGCTCTTAAAAAATTACAGGACAGAAAAAAAACATATTTAACAGGATTACAAGAGAATCAATTCAACCTATCAGAGCACTGTGTGTGCATGAATCTGATGCAAGGAAACCACATGTTCCAACATTCGGGCTCTCGCTGCTTCTCACTAGTGTGGGGTCGCTTAGAAATCTCCTTTTAGAAATAAAAAGCACATTTGTTTTTGCTTAGTATATCATTAAATGTTCAGAAATGTGTTCACCAGTCCCGTCGTAAATTTGTGCCATCTGGCTCTTGCAGGTATTCAATAATGCTGCCAGCTTAGGAGTTGTGTTTCTGAAACTAGAGACTCTAATGTTTTCTGTTCTGGTGAGAGCCAGATTGCACTGGTCTCTGGAGGGAGTAGCACGTGCTGTCGTATTACATCTTCAGTTTTTAAGCAGTTTCTTGGATCGAGTAGGCTTAATTTTATTAACCTCTTAAGCCCCAAGCCTAACTGATCCCCTGCCTTTTGCCCCCGTATCAGGGGGCGTTGGGGCTTAAGAGGTTAATAATGTCTTTGACCAAGTTTCTGATCAGTTTAATGTAAATAAAACCAAATGTGCATTTCATTTAAAAAAGCGGATTCTTAAAGTGTATACTCTGTGTACAATCAATATGTATCTGTGTTGTCTCATGTTTCATTACCAAACAAGCAAAACAACGAGAGCTCTACCATCCACACCCATCACACTATATACACATTGTATGGATCCCATACGAAGTTATGTTTATTTACAGCTACTACAACATGAGAGTGACCTTTACAAATGTGACTATTTACAGTGGACTCAATTTTAAGACATTATTATTTACAGGCTCACACAGATAACTAACACATGTGAAAGTCGAGACTTTAACTGTAACACATTCAACAAAAATTATTTTCAAGTATGAACAAAGAAATCTCCCTGAGAGGGAATCTGCACAGCTTCATAAATGTTCCTGTAACACAGAAAGAAAACGATCAAAGTTAGCTGAACGACGTCTTTATCATGGATATAAAGGTGACTATGGCGGCCGTATAAACTAACTATGGGAATGCCTTATTAATACACTGTTCGGTCTTGTCCCACAGTAGAATTTACTTATATTAAAGATAAGAACTGTTTCTGCTTTAAACAAATGATTGAGATATTAACAGGCAGCAGAAAGATAATTTGTTGATTACTAATATTCTCAAAAACTGTACGAACCACCCTCATGAATGTACTTACTTCTGTAACTTTTAAATTCACTGGTGAAATTGTCACTCCATCGAGGAAAAATGAATTCAGGTAGCCCTCACTGTATGAATCATCCTCGTCTTCACAGCCGTCGACACCGACACTGAAAGCCTCTTTCATCTTCTCAGGGACCAAAAAGTCAAGCAGCACCACAAGAAGCCCAATGAGGGTGCACAGGATGCCTGAAAATCACCTGAGTTAGTAACAGTCAGGCTTGGAATGATAAATTCAAGTGCAAAACATGCAAAATCTATGTGCAAATTCACGTGTTTACCTGTAGCCAGGGCCAGCCAAAACGAATGGCTGTATTCTGTTTCAAAGGAGTCAGTTCCTATGTAGAAAACACACTGAGGCACATTCATGATGGTGGTGAAGGAGATCATGGAGAAGAAGATGAATGCAGCAGTGGCAACCACCATGTACCCAGCGTACCGGATTACTGGCATGGAGAAAAGGATGTTGGCGAGCATCCAGCAGCAAAATGCTGTCCTGTGGAGCAATTATTGCACAGGGATTGGAATTTCTACATCGCCCGAAAATTAGAGCGCACGGTATTATTTGACAAAATCAAGATATGAGTTATTAACAATCACCAGAGTGTTGCAGACGCGTATCGTCCAGAGTATCTGTACTGAAAGATGAGACCGCACGGGCTGCTCGGGGTGAATTTTTCAGCGATATACAGAATGGGGTTGGGTAAACCTTTCTCCAGAGCTTCTTCATATTCTTCAATAGTGTCATGCCAGGTGAACATCTCATTGTAGTCAATGGTCTCATTAAACTGTACGACAGGATTCCCTGAGTGAGATCAAACAGATGTAAATACTACTAAGCAACACAGATAAAAAAGGAACTTTTCTGACGTGTATATGCAGAAGATGTTGTTGTAGCACCGACTCCTTTCACAATAAAAACTGCAGGAATATTTGACGAGACGTCACAGGTTGCTTACTGTGACTCACCTTTCAGCGTAACGTTAATGCCATACAGTCCGACATGCAAGCCAATCTCCGCGTTAACCACCGCGTTGCTGAAAGACTTATAGGTGGCTTTCGTGGTCATTCTGGCCTCGGCCCAGTCGTTAGTGAAGTTGAGTGCTGCAGGGAAAAAATTAACTTGAAAGTCTAGAAAACAAAGGTGGCAGGAAGAATAAAATCTTTGAAAAACAATACGAATGCAAAACTCACCCACTATCACGGCACCAATGAACAAGCTGGTAACTATTCTAAATGTCCAGAAGAGCCGCTGAGAGGAAGAGACAGACAAATTATTTCAGGTGACTAAAATGGAAAAAAAAGGTGAGGAAACTGAAATGACAGCATTACAACTGCTATTATTTTTGCACTTTTCAGCAACCACTGTTGGAGGCGCAGAAAGAGAGAGAACAATAGTGAGGTTTCGTCACTCATTTGCAGTGAGTAATAGTTTTTCTTTTTTTGGACTTGGTTGCACTCACCGACTTCCCTCGTATCCCGGGTAGAATGAGAAGAAGACTGACCGCTAACACAAGGAAGACCAGAATAATGGTGAGCAAGCGGCTGCTGAAGATAAACGGAGTCCTTTGTACAGTGTAGAATGGGTAAATGTCATCGTAGAAAGTCATCTTAGCTTCTGCTCTTACAGACACAACTGAGACTAGACAGCATAACAGAGAAGACAGTGTTAGTGACAGAGTTCTCAGTTTCCCCACCCAGATGCAGAGATAGACACTCTTGTTACTCACAGCTGATAAGGTGCTTTACATTACTACGACTATGTAACATGGCATGATTAAACATAAACATGGCCGCCTTATTAACTCCTCTGGCACTGTGTGCCTTCGCTGCAAAGAAATAAATGCATCTGTTTAACAGACAAACACATGCAATCCTACATCCATTCAGCCACCTCTGCCACTGTAATGTAAATCATTGCTCTTCTCTTTTCTCCATCCTGATTTTAGTGTGTTCAGTCACACCTTAAATAATCATGATAATAATAATGACAAAAACTCAATGAACCTATTGTATAGAAATATCTTAGAGATAGAGATATCTTACCTTAAAGTTAAGTCAGTGATCACTGAAGGAGAAGGAAGTTAAGTGTGAAGGTTGAAGAAGGATAGGCTTCTTTTATACCAGCAGGGCCCCCCCTCGTTTCACCAGGGAGGAGGATGCATTAACTGGAATTCTGTGGAAAAGAGGTGTGATCCAGGAATGATGGCCATTCCCATTTGGGAAATAGGTCACATTGAGTTTGTGATAAGCTGTGCAGAACATTTAAACTTTAGTATTGCACCATCCCTCCGCAGCACCTGTGCTACTGAACTATTCTGCGCAACACTTCAACCTCTGCAGTAGGTGAGAATCAACTACTTCCTCATCTTCAGTCAGATACTAAGAGATAAAAGGCACATGATATTTTCTTTGGACTAGAGTTAAATAGACATAAAATACACGTTAAATGGTACTGTCGCGATGAAGCGGTGCAGTTTAGGTTTTTGTCAAGTTTTGCTGTTTGTTTGAAAAACTAGAGCGCAGTCGAGTTAAACTTGTAGGAATTTTCTTCTTTCTGTTAAAGCAGCCTTGTTTAATTACATGTTAATCAGGATATAAAAGGAAATACAAGTTACCTTCACTCCGTCTTCACTTCTCAGTACTCAACTACTCCTCTTGGCCGAATCCTGCGCTGAGGAGCGCCTCTCGCATCAATGGATTTGCGTAAATGGGTTTGGAGTGTGTGTGCTGCGTTTGGCTTGGTGCTCACTGTTAGTGAACGTAAGTAGAAAGGAAAGACCGTGTTTTCAGACTCTTTTAACTTTATTAATGTAAAATAAATTCCAATTTGCTCGACATGTACCGAACAGGTTCGCACTGTGAGATAACCTGGGAGGTTCCTCGCTTTGACGGCTGGTACAACAGTCTGGGATATCCCCGACGCGGAGCTGTCGGTAAGTCAAGGAGTTGCTCAAGTGTGCAGCCGCGGTGAACTCTGCAAACTCTACATCACCGCGCTGTGCTTGTGCTCGCGCAGGTACTCATCTGATGCGCCTCGTGCCCGCGCATTACTCGGACGGAGTCTACCATCCTGTCCAGGAGCCGCTGCTTCCAAACCCCCGCAGACTGAGTAGGCTGCTGGCGGGGGGGCCCTCGGGTCTCCCCTCCACACGCAACCAGACCGTGCTCTCGCTTTTCTTTGGTAAATATAAAGCTATATAAATAATGTAAAATAAAATGGTTCGCTGAGCAAAAGAAGGATACAAAGCACAAATATTACTGACACTGAAACATGGCACGCCTAGAATCCTGACTGGAAATTTACTTGTGCACCTTCAAGGGGGAAACGTTTTAAAAACGTAATTTAGGGCAAATACAGCAAACCTTTCACACATTATGAAGGTCGGATTTGATTGGTGTTTCAGTGTGTGTAGTTTTACGTCTTGTTGACTCTGAAATTAATGTTAATTTAGATCATCCTTCAAAATAAGAGTTCGGAGGCGTTACCAAGATGTCTGCTGAGATAGTGGTGTGCGATACTTCAATTTCGGGTTGGGAAATTGATAACAATTAAATGCATGGCTAGTGTCGCCTATACCAATAACAATACCGATACTTTTAACCGATAAAGGCAACTTATCTAGGGGAGAGGAGTGTGACATGATTCACCGGATGAATCATCATAAATCATCATAAATGTGCAAATTCTGGACACATTTTAATGACCACTGAATCACTGTGAACTTTCCACAGTACTTAGTT